TGATTGAGCCCGTTGGTGCGTCAGAGCTGCCGTCATGGGAACAAATCCCCCCCCTCCTCCGGTTGTGTTCTTGCTGCCATTTTCTCCAACGTGTACTCCTCCTTGCAACTCACAGGCACAGCAGGCTCAGAACCTCACTCCGGAGCGCTTCAGGAAGTAAAAGGGCAGTTAGGAATGGAAGTAAACAACAAAACTATGTGTTCCCTGCTTGCAAATTAACCTGCTTTATGACTATGGGCTTTGCATAAAGCAGACAGCACCAAACATCATCGAGACGGCTTGGGCTGTGTGGAATTTATAATGTGACTGTAATAGCAACCTACTTTTGCTTACTCACTTATGTTCTTATTGCCTTTCATGTAATAATGATATCAGCTTACAGATTGGCACAGGAGGATTAAAGGCTACGGATTTATTATCCTTCCCTAAAATGCTATTTTTAGTTTCTAATTACTGATTAAGAACATCAGGGTGCAATCTTTCCAGCATCTTTCCCATACGCTCACTGCTACATGTTCATCATGCTACAGTACACTAGGTTTGCAATCAGATAAACCAACAGTAGCAATGCGGGCACCAAGAGGCTAAGCCAGCACCTGCTTACTCTCTTTTTCCCCCAATAGCTGCACTGCGGTCTCTTGAATCAGAAATTAGAGCAGAAACTACTAAAATCACTTGTTTGATATGTTAGATATGACTTTCTTTGGCAACATTCACTTTTCCTTGTCCCCGCCACAGATGTTTCGTGGTTTAGTCAAAATAACTTATAACTAAGCAGTGGTAAGCGTCTGCTATGAACTGTGGCACTTACAAAGTACTGGGGTTCATTTCTGAATCCTCCTAAGAAAATAAATACAGACAGACTTGAAATAGAGGGTATCTACCTTTCTAACCCCGCAAAGACTTAGTGGTTTTTGGTTTGGTTCATTCCTTACTTAAATAAATCTCATAAGTATCAACTGCCAGGGAAGGCAAGGAAAATGGGTATGGAACTTCAAAATAAGATTCTGGTTTCTAACCTTTAACATTTCATCTCTTTAATGCAGGAAATGATCTATAATTACATACCTGATCAGTGTACGCTTGCAGAAGGGTATTTCTTTGTATGATAAAGCTTATACAAATGTATGAAGAAGCAGCAGCCAGGTTGCTACTTGTGTCTTCAGAACCCTCAGTGTGCTCAGAAGGGATCTTTTCCTTTCAAAACTATTTAGAAAATGAGTGTGACAGCGTTTTCATTGTACTTTCAGAGCTGGAACCCAAATGGTGCCCCCCCCACCCTAGTGCTTTCCCAAAAACCCACTTCAGTTTTGTCATCATTGGCATTTCAGCTGAGGTAACACACAATAAAAGTGCTATATATTAAACTATGCAAGTATGAGAAGTATGAAAGCATCCAAGATACTGTAGTATATTTGCAGTCCTAATCAAAAGCCTCGTTCCTTTTGAAATCCCAAAAGAGCTGTCCCATGAGTTCATCTTTGCTCTACAGTCACTTACAGCTGCCAACAATGACAGAACAGGCTAAAAGGGTACAAAAGTAGCCAGAGAAATAGCAGTGTAAAGCTGTATGTCTAGGGCCTCCTCCGGAGAGGTGCACAGTGTCTGTAGGGTCAGTGCCCTCCACACAACAGCCTACAAGAGCTAAGGACTAGGAAGTAAATTTAAAATAGATCTTCCCAGAGCTGTGTCCCAACCTTTCTTCTCTGAGGGACTGGAAGCATGGAGTCATGCTGCTCTGCCCTACAAATGCTTCCACGTGCAACCCACCTAACTGCACTGACTTGGTCAGCTTAAAGGTCTTTTCCAGCCTAGTTGGTTCTGTCATTCTATTCTATGTCTTCCTAAGCAGATCCCAGCTTGTTCAGATCAGTGCTGCTGGGAACTGAAGTTCTTGGAACCCCTGGCAGCAACGTCCCTAGAGAGGAGCCACCTTTGCACAAATGAGTACAGAAGATGACTTTGTGAACCAGCTTGATGTTACTCCCTACCTTGTGAGAGGGCTGAAACCACCAGCTTCATCTCCTTTCATTTTGCTTTCTCCTGCTCAGGTAACAAAGCTGAGACAAGCTGAGCTGTTCAGGCACCAAGAATATGGTTCTTCAAAGCCTCATCTCCAGGGCCTGCTCTCTGCAGCAGTACAGGTACACTGAATGTGTCATGGACGGCACGCTACCCCTGGAGCACAGTCACATCCTTGTCTTGAAGCTTAGCCCCCTGATCACCGAGACACTGCACTTATGAAAGCTTCATGCCTTGAAAATGAGATAGTTCTTTCTCTCATGAAATCTACACTGGAACCAAACACACATGTGGCTGGGTTGGGGTTTGGGTTGCTTTTTTCTTGTAAGCATACACAAGTAAACTTCCATTATTATATCTATTTTTTATATATATTATATAAATATATAATAGATATTATATATATTTATATATATATTCAGGAATACTGAAGCTTTGCACCCAAAAGGAGCTTTGATGAGAAAATGAACATGACCTGGCTGCAGTGTGCACTTGCAGCCCAGAAAGCCAACCATATCCTGGGCTGCATCAAAAGGAGCGTGACCAGCAGGTCGAAGGAGGTGATCCTGCCCCTCTACTCTGCTCTCGTGAGACCTCACTTGGAGCATTGTGTGCAGTTCTGGTGTCCTCAACATAAAAAGTACATGGAACTGTTGGAACAAGTCCAGAGAAGGGCCACGAGGATGATCAGGGGCTGGAGCACCTCCTGTATGAAGACAGGCTGAGAAAGTTGGGGCTGTTCAGCCTGGAGAAGAGAAGGCTGCGTGGAGACCTCAGAGCAGCCTTCCAGTATCTGAAGGGGGCCTATAGGAATGCTGGGGGGGGGACTCTTCATTAGGGACTGTAGTGATAGGACAAGGGGTGATGGGTTCAAACTGAAACAGGGGAAGTTTAGATTGGATATAAGGAGGAAATTCTTTCCTGTTAGGGTGGTGAGGCACTGGAATGGGTTGCTCAGGGAGGCTGTGAATGCTCCATCCCTGGCAGTGTTCAAGGCCAGGTTGAACAGAGCCTTGGGTGAGATGGTTTAGAGCGAGGTATCCCTGCCCATGGCAGGGGGGTTGGAACTTGATGATCTTAAGGTCCTTTCCAACCCAAACCATTCTGTGATTCTATGATTTAGAGACATTGACTCACCAAGCAGGTGCCACTGGTAGTAATTCTGTTGTAAGAACAAACAAGCTGAAGCCCAGCTCAGTGAGCCAAAGCCCCACAGCAAGCCAGAAGGCCGAGCTGAGGTTCAAAATTGTCACCTTCTGCTTCACCCACTGCTCAGCATGGCCTTTCTTGCCAACAGGTAGCAAGTGCATGGGTGACTAGTTACCCTGGTGCTCAGGTGGCTCTATTTTCATTGCTTTGTCAACCAAATTCCTGCTCACAAGTTTCTCACAATACTCAGCCTCCTGTCCTTTGAAGATGCAGAAGCGCTGCTGTTGAAGCCAACAATAGCCAAGTCTGCATCACTGGCAGGATGTTGCTGTAAAGGTTAGAGAATTGACTTCTGAGTGAGTAAAGCTAAAGCCAAGGGTACAGGAGAGCTGACTGTAGAAAATTTATCACATCCTGTTTGGAGTCCCACAGAACCATTTGCCAAATCTCTTAATATAAAATGTTTCACGTCATGGACTGACAGAGTTCCTTTCTTACCCTTCCTTCCGTCCACACCAAATCCGTTAAGGGACTGCTCTCTTCTTGATGGGAGAAAGCTCAGAGGATGAGGATCCGGTCACTTTACGTGCTAAGACCCGGTTTTTACTGTTGAAACAGGAAACACTGTCAGATCCTTGTGGAGAATTCTATGGTTCCATTAGCAAATGCAACCTTTGCCCAAGGTGAAAATGGCAGAGGGCATCTCTCTGCCACATGTAGTCCAAAGGAGCTGAAGGATGCGAAGGATGCAAAGTATGTCACAGCTCTCCACAGCCAGCTGCAGCCTCATTTCATCTTTTTGCCCAGTTTCTGCCTTTGTTCAGTTTGCATTTGAGGTGTAACAGATACAGCCTGGGCTTACTTCCCATTCCTCGTCAGAAAACCTGTGTTCTAATTCAGCATCACACTTTTCAACTCGAAAGAACTTAGACCTCTCTTCACTGCTGTGAGAACCACACACCAGGCTGCAGTCCCAACCTGTGCTAGCAGGCAGGGCTCAGCTGTGAAACAGCCAGACAGCTCTGAGGCAGCAGTACAAGAGGGACCTGGAGCTGAAGGAGCGAGGCCAGAGGAGGCCATGGAGATGCTGCGAGGGCTGGAGCAGCTCTGCTCTGGAGCCAGGCTGAGAGAGCTGGGCTGGGGCAGCCTGGAGAAGAGAAGGCTCCTGAAGGGGAGACCTTAGAGCAGCTCCAGTGCCTGAAGGGGCTGCAGGAAACCTGGAGAGGGGCTTGGGACAAGGGCCTGTAGGGACAGGCCAAGGGGAATGGCTTGAACCTGCCCGAGGGGAGACTGAGCTGAGCTCTTAGGCAGAAGCTCTTCCCTGTGAGGGTGCTGAGGCGCTGGCACAGGGTGCCCAGAGAAGCTGTGGCTGCCCCATCCCTGGCAGTGCTCAAGGCCAGGTTGGACACAGGGGCTTGGAGCAAGCTGCTCTAGCGGAAGGGGTCCCCATTGCAGGGGTTGGGACTGGGCGAGCTTTAAGGTCCCTTCCAACCCAAACCAGTCTGGCATTGTCTGCCCTTCATTCCCCTCATCCGCCATCCTTCCCTGCAGCTCCCTGCAGTACACCTAAGCCAACCCCACCTCTGGTTTGCACAACCCGCCCTGCGCTGCCAGGCGCGTGTTCCCTATCGCAGCCGTGTGCGAGTTAGCGGCTATAGCAGCGTCACTCTCCCGGCACAGCGCGGGCACGTTGTGCCCCAGGCAACCAAGTGGCTCCACCAGTTCTCACCCACAGCTCACCCCCCCTTTCTCTGTCTCTTGTTTTCTCTCTCTTTACACTACCCCCGTTCTCCAGCGGGGATGTTGGAGGGGGCAGCCCCGTGGGCAGCGCAGGGATGTTCAATGAGCTGTGACTCTCTGCTTTATCTCGCGTTTTGCATTCAGGAGGACACGGAGCTCCCGGTTCCCGTGTTGATAACCAGTTTGTTCTGTCGCTAGGAGACACACCTTTTCTTTGTAAATGTTACACACCAGGCGTATCTGATCCATTATTCACGACGTGCTGCTGCTTCCCACTTCCATCTCCTGTTAGGAGGTAGCGCCGATGCCAGCAATGTCACGGCAATGCCATGTGACAGCTGGGATTGATGCAGCTCCCTCGGGTTTTAATGTCACTCTTGTTCAGTGGGAGCACAGAGCAAGCCTCAGCAATGCGGCAGGTCAGGGCGAGAGCTCCCAGCCAGCCCTGTGCTGTTGTGTGGTGGGGTGGCATTGAACTGCTGTGGAGCAAGAGATCTGGTTGTTATTTCCTGCTGTGTTATCACGGTTAAAACGATTGTCGTGCTTAGCACTACTCATCATCACCCTTGGATTCTGAGGTTTCACATCAGGTTGACAGCAGAGACAGCAAGAACGGAGGGGACTTGCACTCAGTGAGCAGGCAGAAGCAGAGCCCTGCTCTGTCCATCAAACCCTTTCCACCCTTTGACACGATCCCCCCTTTTTGGCAGAAGCTGTCGGTTTTGGAAAGCTGCTCCCAGCCCATGAAGTCGGGGACACAGAGGCTTTGCAGGGGGATCACAAGCCCAAAGAAGCCAAGGAGCCACAGGAGCCATTGTAGGCAGCGTCCTGCTCCTGCCACTCCAGCATCCTGACAGCCCAGCTACTGTAAACAGCCCTCCCAATACCTCCAGTGGAGCTGTGACCCAGGACACCACTGAAACAGGAACTATTGTAACACAAGGAGTCTCTGGCACAAGGCTGTTTGCCAGGGAAGCTTAGGCTGACCCACGGTTTCTATTGCTGCCAGGCTTGGAAGCGGAGCATTCACCGGCCTGACGTGACCCAAGACTCCCAAAGATTTCTTTCTTCATTTTCCCTTGCTGTCTGCATTAGGTAGCCTGCCAAGAAGCCAAGGGAGGCCCAGCCCTAGGCCTGATAAACATCTCTCCTTCTGGATTTCCCAAGCTTTTGGGAAAGTGAAGCAATTCTCACTTGAGTCTCACAGAAAGCTGTTTCTCTCCATAACGTTATCCTGCCGAGCAGCACATCAGAGCCCCATGCTGTGAAATGCTAAAGCAGCCCCCAGCCGTTAGTCACAAACCAAACCTGCCACTCCATCCACGACAGTCACAAAGCCTCCAGTGATTTATTCTCAATGCTACCAGCACCAGTCCTCAAAGTGTTTGTGAATAACTGTGAGTGCAAAACGAGCTCAAGAACAGCAAAGCCGATTGATGAAGCAGCCCCTGCGTGCAGGGACATTGCTGCCCACTGAGGCCATTCACCCCTTTGCTTTGCCAGGGCAGGAGGTAACATTCTTCCACCGGGTCAGAGGTGACCTGGTGCAGCGCTGGAGGCTCAGCAGTCACGCGAGACGCCACAACGGGACGTGGTGGTGACCGGATTCAATCTCGCTCCTGGCAGTTCATCCTCCCAAATAACAGCCATGCAACGTCAGTGGTCAGAAGTTAAGTAGCACGTGGGGCGGCACTGATTGCCCAGCAGGCTTCTTGCAGGGCTGGGTATTTTTAGGGCTAAGCTATCACCGGTAGTTCCCTTTCAGGTCTTTCCAATTGAACTCCTGATTTCTCAGTGCCAACACATGGCCGACAGCAAAATTCCACTTTAAACTTGTCTGCGATGATGCACCAGGTCCTTCACAAGCTGGAAAAACCACTTTATTTCAAGTAATAAAGGGAGAAATATTATAGATGATGAAGCTTTAATATTGTGTCATTCCAATATCTCACATACAAAAACCATTTCAGCACTACGTTCAACCTCTGCTTTAAGAGGGGAGCTCAGTGCTGAAATGCCTACAGGGAAAGCAGGGAACAATCAGAATGAAAACCTCATTTGGTGGCACAGGATTCATTCAGGAAGCACGGTGATATGTCAAACTTTAGGGTTGAAGGCAAAGATCTGGGAAGAGAATGGCCACAATTGGGTTGCTCCAAGTACAAATTTCTGTAATGAGTTTGCTTGGACAGAATGAGCATATCTGGTAGTAGCCAGAATAAAAAGCTGTGCTTCATAGTGCCATCACGCATTTGATAACCCCTCCAGGGACGCAATGCCGAGCTGCAATCATCCTGTTTAATGAAGGAAAATACCCTCCGTAGAAAGCTTCCACAGCCTTCACTGCCACAGCCGGTCTGGGAAAGAGCAAAGGCGAATTGTGAAGCAGCGACTGCTTCGGGATGTATTCGAAGGGGGTTTCCCTAAGAACTCAACGGGCACAAACGGTTCTTGCCTCACCTCCCTCCCAGGCAGGGCTGGCGCTGTGCTCACGCCCCATCTAGCGGAACGCAACGGTAAAGAACACGGGGGTCACCGCCTGCGCTTTCCTTCCCGAAATCACTGCACGCCTCAACACCGAAACCTGCGGGATGGGGCTGCAGAAAGGAGCGCGCAGACCCGGACCAGTCTGATTTTAGCGCACCACAAGCGCTTAAACCCGGCTCTTTCACAAGAAGCCTCGATTCACTTCGGGTTCTCACTTTTCCGGCAGAAGCAATGCTTTAAGAATACTCCTTGCAGTTTGCTTCATGTCTGCTTGTCCTGGGTTCAGCAATAGCAGTCCTTTTCCTCCTCCTTAGTAGCTGGTGCAGAAAACACTTCTATTCTATACCTCCCAGAGTATAGAGGTGGTGACCACACTGGAACATAAGCCAGATCAGTTTCATGATCAATGATTCTATTGTATCACAAGTCATTACCATAAAGTACAATGAAACAAGAACCTTAGCCCAAGGCCCCCAGCCAATAAACACTAACACAGCAAATACTGGCTGTAAGTAAGGTACGACATGCTGAACCTGTGAGATCAAGAGCAACAGCTTCGAGAGCCAATAAATCAGCACTGTGACAAGTGACTTAATCCAAAACAATGAATGCTTATCACAAATACGATTGGACACACTCTGGTCAGTTATCTCAACCCTTCGTGCCCCATGTTGGGCTCCAAAAAGAACTGTCTTGTTTTAAACCCAGTCAGCCATGCTTGCTCTCCCTTCTGCACCAGCTACTAAGAAGGAGAAAAATGACTGCTACTGCTGAACCCAGGACACTGCTTTAATGCAGTGACCTCTTCAAAGTACACATTTGTTGCAAACATCATTGACCAGAGTGATTCATAGAATCATAGAATAGTTAGGGTAGGAAAGGACCTTAAGATCATCCAGTTCCAACCCCCCTGCCATTCGCAGGGACACCTCGCTCTAAACCATCTCACCCAAGGCTCTGTCCAACCTGGCCTTGAACACTGCCAGGGATGGAGCATTCACAACCTCCCTGTGCAACCCATTCCAGTGCTTCACCACCCTCACAGTAAAGAATTTCCTCCTTATATCCAATCTAAACTTCCCCTGTTTAAGTTTGAACCCATCACCCCTTGTCCTGTCACTACAGTCCCTAAATGAAGAGTCCCCCCCCCAGCATCCCTATAGGCCCCCATCAGACACTGGAAGCTGCTATGAGGTCTCCATGTAGCTTCTCTTCTCCAGGCTGAACAGCCCCAACTTTCTCAGCCTGTCTCCATACAGGAGGTGCTCCAGCCCCTGCTCATCCTCGTGCCCTCCTCTGGACTTGTTCCAACAGTTCCATGTCCTTTTTATGTTGAGGACACCAGAACTGCACACAATGCTCCAAGTGAGGTCTCATGAGAGCAGAGTAGAGGGGCAGGATCACCTCTTCCGAACTGCTGGTCACGCTCCTTTTGATGCAGCCCAGGATATGGTTGTTTTCTGGGCTGCGAGTGCACACTGCAGCCAGGCCATGTTCATTTTCTCATCAAAGCTCCTTTTGGGTGCAAAGCTTCAGTATTCCTGAATATATATATATATATAAAATATATATATAATAATGGAAGTTTACTTGTGTATGGTTACAAGAAAAAAGCAACCGAAACCCCAACCCAGCCACATGTGTGTTTGGTTCCAGTGTAGATTTCATGAGAGAAAGAACTATCTCATTTTCAAGGCATGAAGCTTTTAAAAGTACAATGTCTCGGTGATCAGGGGGCTAAGGGCCCACTGAAGGGTGGGCCGGGTCCACACTCAAAATTCTAAATCTGACCAAATTCACACCAAAAATTCTCAATTTGATCGTTTTTTACTCGGAACTCTGACTCCGGTGGGAGGTTTGAACCTAGCAAGGGACGGAATGTGAGCGTCGAGGGACTACAACTCCCGGCATACATCGGGAAACAACATGGCCGACCGGAACCAGCCTGCCGAGGGACTACACCTCCCGGCATACCTCTGGAAACAATATGGCCGACGGCAGGCTGCCTGCCGATGGACTACATCTCCCGGCATGCCTCGGGAAAGGACATGGCCGACGGCAGCGCCGCGCCCCGGTGCCCTGGGTACCCGCACTCCGCGGTGGCGCCGCTCCCGGCTCTGCCGCTGCGGGTTCACCGCTCTTGTCCCTGCTCCCCCTCCGCACCCCCCGCAGGCCGCGCCCAGCGCTCCCCACCGCGCTCCGATACCGCTCTGGGCATCGCCTCCTCCCGCGGGCCCTGTCACAGCACCGCTCCTGCGCCCCTTCCCTTCGTTGGCAGCTGCAGAAGCCAGAGGCGTTTAATTACAGGCTCCAGAGTCCGGATACAGCCGGCCATTAAAAGAACAGTCATTCCCTCCTTTCTAAACGTACCGAGTTCTGTCTATGTCTCAGTTTTATTTGGCTTTCTGCCTTTCAATTCTTTCCTCTCTTAATTTGGCTTCTAATATTCCTAGTTTTATCTCCTTTGCTCTCTGTATTTTAAATCACAGCTCCCGCAGTGCTATCACTTTCAAAATGTTCATTGTATGTCTCCATTCCAATGCACCATCCTATTTCTTATTATTTCTTTAACCACCCTTGCTTTTAGTGTTCTCCTTTCATCCTGTTCGCTGTCCTTAGCTCACTGCTTTTTAACAATACCTGGTGTTATCTCAGTGCCCTTGCTTTTAATCTTCTTGCTGCATCTGTGTCGCTCTGCTCTCCATATATTTTAACTTTGCCCTTTATTTCTCCCTCAAACTTGTTGCTTGTCTTTCTATGCCTGCTTTTACTCCATTTACTCTTCCTTATTTCATTAATACTTCTTACATATTAAAATATATATTAAAACATTTCATATTCCTTCCTTATTTCCTTAACCACCATTAGGCATTCATTGCTTTTATCCTATTCCATTCAAGCCCCAGCGCTCCTCTAAGCGGGTCGCCAGGGGGCGCCGCAGTGCGGTCCCCGCTCCAGTACCGACCTCCCAGCGCGCGTCCCCGCGGGCCCTGGCTTCGCCCTCAGCGGCCCCCCCCTCCAAAGGCCAAGCCCCCGTGCCCGTAGCCCCCGGTGCAGGCCCCAGCGCCCCGCAAACCCCGCGCGCAGCCCCGGGGACACTTCCGGGGCGGGGGTTCCCCCGCACCCCACCTCACCCCCACGTGGGACCAACCCGTGGTGTCCAATCCCCGCTGTACCCTCTACGGAGCCAGCCAATGGGCGAAGCGGGGCCGCCCACCCCGCGCTGCGGAAGGGTATAAAAGGCAGCGCCGGGTTGGGTTGCGGCGCATTCGGTTCGTGGTGCGGTGCGGGACGGGGCGAGCATTACGGGAGCGCGCTCGGATTTATCGCGATTGGGATTTGCTTTCCCCGCACGGAGCCCGCACGCCCTTGGATTACGATCGCGCCATGACTCTGGAGGAGCTGGTGCCTTGCGACAGCAGCAGGTACGTGCGGGACCCGGGCTCGGAGATGCGGGGCTTGGGTCGGGGGGGTTCGCCCTTGTTGCCGCCGGTGCTCACCGGGTCTCGTCTCCCCTTGCCCCGCAGGATGCAGGCGGTGAGCGAGGCCGTGGAGCGGGTGCTGGTGGCAGCGCAGCACCAGGACCGGCTCACAGTGGGTGTCTATGAGTCCGCCAAGCTCATGAATGTGTGAGTATCGGGGGGGGTGCATCCAGCGTGCAGGTGATGGGGGGGTACCGGTGTCCCACGGGTGTGGGGGGAAATCACAGCCCCATCGGAGCTGGTTGCCCCTCTAACGCCCCGTGTGCCCATAGGGACCCTGACAGCGTGGTGCTGTGCGTGCTGGCTACTGACGAGGAGGACGAAGGTGACATCGCCCTGCAAATCCACTTCACCCTCATCCAAGCCTTCTGCTGCGACAACGACATCCACATCCTGCGCGTCCTGGGCATGCAGCGCTTGGCCACCATCCTGGGGGAGCCTGAGCCCGGCTCCGAGCCCCGTGACCTCCACTGCCTCTTAGTCACGGTGAGTGGGGTGGTGATGATGCACGGCACGGTCACGCACCAAGGCCCAGAGTGGGGGGGCTCGGGAGCTGTGTGTGAGGGCGACGGCGGCGCTGACTCCGTGTTTCTGCTCCTCAGAACCCGCACACGGACGCCTGGAAGAGCCAAGGCTTGGCGGAGGTGGCCAAATACTGCACTGAGAGCCGCGACAGGAACCAGTGGGTGCCGTTTGTGTGCCTGCAGGAGCGCTGAGCCAGCCCCGGCCCATGCCCGGCTCTGTACCTGAAAAAGGAGGGGGGAAACAGTATAAACGGCAGGCAAAAGCAAGGCGGGAACGGCCAGTTTACAACCAACCCAAACCCACCCAAAATAACCCCAAACGCAAACAGCCACCGATTTCGTTTTCATTTATACCCGGAGCGGAGGAAGGAGCAGAGCGGCACCGGTGGGCACGGGATGGAGGCAGCCAAAGCCCTGCTGTGCCGGCAGCCGGGTCGGACGCTGGCCGGAGCGCGCCGGAGCTCATCCATTGCTTGGATGCAGGGAGCTTGGGGACTGCGCTGAGGAGCCCCGGGCCAGGCGTTGGGAGGAGATGGAGAGCGTGCGATGCCCTCTGTTCGGCAGCTGTGACCGGGCAGAGGTGAGGACTGCAGGGGAACTGCTTTCTCCAAGGGATCGGTTATTGTCGGTACCGATGGAGCTGGAATCCGTGTCGAGTTTTTTTGCACTCTCAAACCACTTGGAGATGAATTTATTCCAGAGTTTATTCTTATACTGATTTAAGACAAAAACCCCGAGTTATTTGCAATAAAACATCTGAAGCCAGGGCTGTCTGCGTTGCTTGGGGCTGCTGGAGCTTGGGCCCGTGGGGAGGGGGGTTCTGTATGCACAATGCAGCGTGTGCCTGGGGAGGGGTGGCCCTGATGGGGCCTGAGGCTCTTTCTATGTGTGACAGCAGCTGGGTCTGTGCATGGGAACAGCCCCTGAGGTCTGTGAGGAGCTGAGCACAGGGTAAGTGACCCCTGGGGCTGTGCAGCGGACCCTGGCTATGGGAACCGGGGTCCCACCACGGTGCAGGCATCCCCAGGGCAATGCATCCTCCCCGTGCCCGTGTCCATACCAGGGCTGTGGCACCCTGATAGGGGCACATGGGAGCAGGCAGGAGCAGCCCCAGACCTCACACACGCATTGTCCCTGACCCGGACCCTACCATGGCAGCACCGCAGGGGCTTGATCCAGGCGGGAGGGGACCCTCTGGGGGTGCAGGAACCCCCCAGGCAACGCAGACCCCGATCTGCCCCCTATGGACCCCAGGGACAACGCTTCCCCCTCCCCCCCCCCCACCCGCGGCAATGGGGGATCAATGGGAGGGGGGCTCCGGGGCTGGTTTGGCTCTGCCTGGACCCCCAATACTGTGACCCCCCCCCAGCATCACCGCAGGGTGAGGCCACAAAACCCAGCACAGTGGAGCCAGGCAGGGCCAGCCCAACACCAGCAGCATCAGCCCCTGGGTGACCCCGAGCCCGGGGCTGCGGGGAGGGTGCTGAGGGTGCAGCCCCCCCCCCATCCCTTCCATCCTGGGAAGTGCCACCATTTCCCATAGGAAATCCCTGACCCTCGCCCCAAGCAGGGTTGGGGTTGATCCAAGGGGGGGGTGGATCCATGCTGTGGGTGCAGGGGGTGTGCGGGGGTCCCAGTGACCCGGGGGCGGGGGGGGGCACCGATGCAACCCCATTTCCTATGGTCACCAGGACCTTGCACATCCATGCATGGAGGGGATGTGCATGCAAGGGGAGGCTCAGGGATGGTGCTGTTTTGGATGGGGAGGGTGGGGGCAAACTGAGCCCCTTCCTGGCTCTGGGGTGGCTGCAGCCAGACAGGGCCGGGCTGGATCCTGCTCTGAGCCCAGCACACAGGGAGGCCACAGCCTCTGATTTATGAGTCTGGGCTGGGTGGCTGCTGGCAGGAGGCAGCCGGGCTGGCCCCGTCCCCAGGCTCTGTCCCCATCCGCCCCTGCATCCACCCACAGAGCCCCTGGGCTGCCGGGTGCAGCCGAGCTCCTGCACCCCTGTGCCTGGGGCAGGGTCTGCAGGGATGCTGGGGGGGGGGGCACCCAGGGCCATGCATTGCCAGGGTGGGCAGCCCGGCTGCAGCGATGCAACCACCCCAGTGCAGCCCGACCCTGCTGTGCCCAGACCTGGTGGGACACACGCCACTGCCCCCAGGGCCACCCCGGCCATGTCCCTGCAGCCCTGGCCCATGGTGCCAGCAGCATCCCCAGCCCTGGCTCCAAAGGCGGGTTAATTATAGCTGTGGGGAAGCTAAAAACAGCCCTGGGAGAGAGGGGGGGGTATTTATAGCCCTTGCCCCAGGAGGGTCCAGTGGCCTTTCATGTGCTGCCAGGCTCGGGTTCGCTTTGCCGTGGGTTTCCAGCAGCATCCCTGATGCGTGCCCCTGGGTTTGAGGGGTGCAGGGATCTGACACAGGACCCCAGCAAGGCCACATCCCCCCTAAATGCTATTGGAAATCGCATCCCCTCTGCTCCCCTGCATCCCCCCCGGGCTCTGCAGGGCACGGACATCCCTGTGCCTCCCATAAGATCAGCACCGGTCCCCCCAGACCCGGCCCTGCAGTCAGGCATCATCAGTGTAGGGTGACAGAGCCCAAGGACCCCGGCTCAGGCCGGAGCTGCCGCTGCCCGCCCCAGCTCAGCCTTTCGGGTCAGACACGGAAACATCCCAACTATTCCAGGCACGCAGGGGAAGCGTGGCTCCAGGCTGCCCATGGCAGCAGCACTGCGGTACTGCAGGGCCAAAGCCTTCCAGGAAAGCAACCCCCGTGGCTCAGCCAGCTCCAGCACTGGACCCTGCTGCTGCTCTGGGATGGGAGCTGCTGGGAAGCTGAGGGAAGAGATGGGGCTGCAGCCAGGGCAGGTGGAGGCCCCTTCCTTTGCTTCTCCTTTTCACCTGGGTTTGGTTTTGCTGTGGCTCCATGGACAGGAAGGCCCCGTAAACATCAGCTCCGATGCTGCTGGGGCAGATGGGGAGCATCAGGTTGGTGGGAGCAGCCCCCGTGTGTGGGAGAAGGGGGCTCCGAAGGGGCTGCACCAGCTCAGCCTGCAAGGCTGTGACACCCAGTGAGGTGGTGGGGATGCTGCTCAGCCCCATCCCACCCGGTTGGGATGAGCAAGGTGTCCTCGGGCAGGAGACACCCCAAGGAAAGGGGTGGGAAGGTCTTCACTGATCCCAGCTCTGGAGAAAGCTCCTGCTGTGCCCCCAAGCTGGCAGCACTATGGGGACGTGAGCAGCAACCACGGCAGGTTGCTGCAGGACAGGCTGGGCGGGATGCGGGATGCGGGATGCAGGATGCGGGATGCAGGATGCGGGATGCAGGACAGGCTGGGCAGGAGATCTGGCAAAATGAAAAGTGAGCCTTTTTATTGTATTATCAATTTCACTTCTTAACAACAAGTCCACAAAATATTAAACACTGTGCAAGGAATTGGGCTATGGCACACCAGAAATAAAAACCAAAGAGATCCCAAACTGCAGACGTTATGAGGAGCCTACGTTACAGACACCGATTACTTCCTAAATACAGTCTTTACAAACCTGGATTTGTGTTTGGCAACAAGATCAGAGTTTGGCAAATAAGAATACCAATTATAACAGGCCAGAGAGAACTGAAGAGCGCAAAGGATCAGACACGTGGCTTCTGTTCAATGAAGGAAATGCATTACTTTGACTCAAAGTTGACTTTTTAAGCACTCGGAGGAAGGGGAACCATCACCTGGTGCCATGTGGGTACCAGGCATCTCCCATCACTGGCATGGTCCCGGAGGCAGGGAGGGGAGGACAAGGCAACTTAACCAGGAGCAGTTTCCTCTTCTCCCTTCCTCTTCGTAGTCTCCCTCCTTTCTTTTGGCACCAGCTTCACCACATGCTATAGGGAACACCAGGCAGGTTTGGGCACATCCAAAACCAAGGCCTTTGTGAGGCTGCTGGCACTGCCCGCCCGTGCCTCCTCAGGGGTCCTCACTGCCCCTTTGCCATTTGGAGCACTTAAAAAGTCCTGAAAAGTGTCTTTTTTTTGTATTTTTTTGTCTTTTTTTTCCTCTTTTTTTATGCCCAGCAAATGCACGAACAAAGTACAAGCAGCTACGGGAATCTGCACTTCTATTTATGCTCTACAAAAACACGCACGGAATGAGCACTGATTTACCCAGACAAGGAAAAAAAAACCTCAAAAAGAACAGAAAAGAAAACAGAAAACCCCACAAACTCGAGGATTTTTCCACCCAACGACTCACCCCACTGAGAGGCACCAGCACCCGCCAGCAGCCCCCTGCCCGCCCCATGGGCCACCGGCATCCGGGAGCCCCCCAACCCTGTCCCCACCTTTCCTAAGGGACTCCAAGCAGATGCTCCCCATCCCCTGCTCCCATCTCCAGCCACACTTTGGACCTAACCCTGCCCCTCACTGGCCACCCCCCCACTGCCAGTGTGACTCAGGCAAGACCCCAGGGATGAGCGTGATGGGAGGACAAGGATGCAGCAGCATCCCATAGCAACCCCCCCCCAACCCATTCCATGGGTCTGAGCTGCCCCATTGCCAACCCATAGAGGGCAGGGTGCAGGCAGGGGGTGCTGGGAAGCCCCCTGGGCAGCACGAGGTGGTGATGGATGGGGGGGCAGCAGGCCTCTCAAGCGGAGGAGCGGTGTATGGCTCCTGCGGTAACCTCAGCCACTTGCTCGCTGCCGCACGGAGCTGCCCTGCAGCTCGGGCACTTGCCTGGGTCACCGCCTATAGCACCATGCACAGGTCTCTAACATAGAGGAAGAATCAGCAATCCGGAGTAGAAAAATAAGGCTGGAACTGTACTAGATTAAGGACAGAGGAAATTCCCCCATGGAGAAGAGAAAGCCCTGCAGCGGTGGCAGCAGAACCCAGGCGCACCTCAGGACCGAGCTCGCTCCCTGCTGAGGATGCGGCCTCTGAGAGCTTTTGTTGGAGGAAAAGAGTTAACAGGAACACACACAACAAACCCATAAAGGCATCACCCGCCCCCGGTGCTGTGCTGGGGCTGCTGCCCTTGGCTGCAAGGCGATGCTCAGCGTGGCGTCAGGCTGGGGTGCAAGTAGGGCTTGGCTGCAGAGGGAACTAAATCCACTTCCCTCTGCTCTACCTGTGTCCCCCCCCCAGCATCACACACCCAGGGGATCACAAGCAGCCTGCCACAAGGCTGGTGCCAGGGGAGGAACCCCCAGCACAGCGGGATGGGGGGCAACAGGAGGTGTAAAACAGCAAAGGAGGCCAGGAAAGCAGCTGCAAGATGCACACAGGAGGTGTGGGTCAGTGTTCAGAATGTGTGTGTTGGGGGGTCCAACTTGGTTTTAAAAGGCAAGTGACCACGTACTTAAAGAAAGGGATGCAAAGATACCTGCAACCAAGAAGGGTAAATGAAGCAGCTCTGCTAACCACAGCCTCTGCCAACGCTGCTGGAGAGGTGCTGCCTGCACTCAGCCAATACTCCAGGCAGGGGAGGAAGAACCTCTGAAGCTGAACTTCTTCCTGATGACAACCTGCCCTCCCTGGGTACCAGCCACTGCAGGCTCTGCTCCAATCCCTGCCTTCGAGCTGCCCCCTGGCACTGGAACACCATCAGCCAGCACAGCATCCCGGTACCCTGCTGGACCATGAAGCCTGACCAGCCTGAGCATGATGCAGGATGTGCTGTGAGGGCTCCTCCCTCCACCTGGATCATGACAGAAAGGGTGAACATGGTTCAACACCAAAGACTGAACCAGAGCCTCCTCCAGGCTCCCTCTTGCAGGGGGTCCTGCAGCCACAGCCACAGGAGGTCCCATGAGGTCCCATGAGGGGATCAGCCGCCTGTGGTTTCCATCCCAGTGGGAGGTCAGGGCATTTCACACCAAATCCAAAGCATTGAGGGAATGGGAATGGGAAAACTCCCAAGGTTTCCCATCAGGTGTGTTGTTTGGTTTCCTTTTCTCCTTCTCTTCCCCAAACTGAAACCCGTCATCCCAGCATCACTGGGAACGGGTCCGGGCATGCCGGTTAGGAAATGGAACCGTGCCTCTGCCTACTGTGGGGTAGCAGCTCCAGTGACAAGGGGGAAACACAGTGGGACTTCCCTGAGCTCTGGTATTTCCTCCTGAGCATCCGCCTGCCCCAGCACGGAGCCACTGGGCTCTGTTGCTGCCATCAGGGCTCTGCGGTGGGCAGCGGGAGGAAGGCTCTCCTGCTTGTCCCCTCTTCCTCACGCCTGCTCTCACCACGTTTAACATCGGTGAACAGAGCGCTCCCGTTGCAATGGCACGTCCAGCTTTCCAAGGGATGGGAAAAGGACTTACTTCTTCTACAGCCTTACCCTCACCTCCCTCAATGAAGTGGGTTCTGTGGAGCAAGTTCCATTTGCCGCTCTTGGTAAGAGACAGGGAGACGAGGAATGCTCGCAGATCTGCCCAATGTAGTGTTTTGAACAAAGACTCACCAAAAGGCAAACTTAAAAGGACTTTTCATGTGATATGGCACAACGGAAAGCTCCCCCCCCCCCCAAACCCCTGGTACAGTCCTATTGGGAACACCAGTGATAACAGCACAGAGCAGCTCAAGCCCGGCCTCTCCTATGCCTCAGGCTTCCTAACATTGCCCATGGCAACTCCTGGCCAATGGATCTGACACTAGAGAGCCTTCTCCTGTGGTACCATCCCCTCCTTGGAGCAGGGCTCTGTGGCACAAGGAGGGAGCCTCCTGGCCTCCATCCTCCTCCTCTCCCTGCCCCAGCCTCACTTTACCCATTTGCAACAGCGGTTTTCCAAGCGGCGTTTTGGTTGCTTTGGGTGGTTTTCCTCTTTAGTACTGGTTTTCCACACAATAACTCCCCACCTGGGTCTTCTCCCTCGTTCCCTCCTCGAGGAACAGAGCAAATGCTTGCAACAATGTGCTAATTAGAAACTAATTGGCTGAGACCCACTCAGAGCTTTGTTCAAAGCTTCTACGGGGAGGTCCCACTACTTAGATCTTGCATTGGCAGATGCAATAAGAACCCCCACTGCCTCCACCACCACCACCCCGGTATCAATTACAAATGTCACTATTAAAAATACCCCCCCCCCCCCCAATCATGGGGTTTGGGTTTGTTTCCCTTCTTCTTTGTCAATGCTGACCCCTTTCAGAGCAGCTCCTGCCCCGGAGCACGCACCCGTCCCTAAAACCACGTGTAATATTGTACCCCCCCCCCCCACCCCCCCTTCCCCTTCCCACCCCCCAGGTTTAAACTCGATTTGAATCCAACATTTAGTATTTACCCCTCGGCACAGTTATAAGTTTGTATCTTGGTTTCAGTTGATGGAGAACAGTGCCCTGCCTGAGAGATCCCACACGCCACAGCGAGCAAAGCTATAGGATGATACAAGGCTTTTTGTCCTTAAAAGGATTCTCCGAAGCGGGCACTCCAACCAGCAGCGGGTCATTCCTGGCGTGTTGCTCGCAGTAATTCATTAGCTCAGAGGATGCTTTCGAGACCTAAACGATGCAAAAAGGCAGGAGGTTAAATGAGGACATTCAGGTGAAGGTGCAAAGCTCAGCCCATGCAGCACCGCTGACCCCTCTGCGGGGAGGAAGAGAACCCGTGTTCTGCTTTCTGCAACAGGGACTTTGTGGAGATGGCAACAAAAGAAGAGAGGAAATGGACACAAGAAAAGAAAAAGTTTGTAAGGTCTGATATAAATAAAGCAATGACAACGTGAAAAATGCTCTCAGAGATTGAAAAGGAGATATTATTGTCTGATTCTGAAGGGCTTTGGGATAAAAAAGGAGAAATAAAAGCCTGCCGCAGCGGCCATCCTCTGATGTTAAAAAGGGAGGTTTTGAAATTGTTAGAAACTATTACTTAAGGCTCTGCTTATTTTAGTTCAAAGGTGTCTTCTGGGAAGTGGGAGCCCAGAGCAGCCTGGCAGGGATGAGGCCGTGGTGGTGGGCACCGAGGAAGGCGGGAGGCATGGGGAGAGCTCAGGCAGGGAGGTGCTGGCAGCTGGAGACCAGCATCAGCCCCCTTTTATTACCATTAACTTAATAGCAGGTTGAATGTATGGCAAACCCAAAACACAGACACCACCAGACCACATCTGGAAGAGCCAGATGTGGCCTATTGTAGCTGCAGAGCCTTATGGCAGCGGCTCCCTCCCCAGGATCTCCACGGCTGCTTGGCTCCAGGGTGACTTGTCCCTCTCAGCTGAGCTAAGCCTTCATTAGGGGCTCCTAAATCTAGAGCACCTATATGCCACCTCCCTGCTCCCTCAGCTCTGCTACCCTCACTGCAGCACTATCCAAGGGTCACTGTGCTCTGCAGCCTTGCTGTGATGCTGCAGCACACAGCCAGCAGGAACTTGCAGATGCATGTTGTCATTAAACCCTACAGCAGCAGCCAAGGGTGCAAAGGGAGGAGGAGGAAAGGTGCTTGCAACAAAACCCTGGTTTGTTACAGCTTTGGGCAAACCCCATTTAACCTGTGCTTCCACACCACAGGGTAGGAACCCTCCTCCTTCTTTTGGTGTTTCCTGGAATGGCAGGTCCAGAGACTGCATCAGACAAGGTGCTTTTGTGGGGAATCTCCAGGTATTACTGAAGTCCTAACCAGTAATGAACACTTCTAATGATCACAAACTGCTGCTGGCCTGCACTTCAATATACTTATCCATACACTGGGATCCAAAGGCAAAACTGCTCAGCAGAGACAAGGTCAAGGCTCTACCTTAAATCCATTACATAGAACATTAATTGCTCCTAATTGCTGCTGGGGCAGCCCCTTCCCTTCATCTCCGAAGTGTAGTGACACCAACCTCGGCTGCAAGGTGTGGAGAGCAGGAGCTGGAGGAGCAAACACCCATTTGACACTGCACTGCACTGCATTGCACTGCACTTAGGAGCTGCCTGACTTGGCACACTCACCCAAGAGCTGGGTTTGCAGATCACAACTCACCCAGATAGCACATCTTCTCCACTCAGCCTAAATAGCATCACACTGCGGTCTCACCACCGCTCCTTCTCAGCAAAGCATTTAAGACAGTGGCAGCTACAAAGGCTGGTAAGTATACACACACCCTCCATCCTCCCTGGCGTGCACCATTTGGGATCCTGGAGCTGAGACGTGGTAATTCTTAGCAGAGTCAACAACGTCTGTGCTGGGGGAAGACCTGTAATTTAGTTCTTCTTCCCTAAATTGGCCTTGCTGATGGGTGCATCACTGGAGTCTGGAAAGTGGTGGCCCTAAAAACAGCTACAAAACCTCATGCCTCAATATATATATGTATATATATTTTTATATATATATCCACAAAGCAGTAGCAGCTCCTCTGGCACATCAAAACCAGAGATGACAGAGGACCTGCTGCTACAGACTTAGCAAGTCAAAGAAAATACTCAAACTACATTAAAAACCCTCAGGTGGATTTAGCACCTGTGTATTTTATGGTGTTCGTTTCACTGTGCCTTCCATCACCATGCATGAGGGTTTCCTTTGTGTGACAAGTGACTTTCCATGAACACCTTCCCTTCCTCCCAAGGGGGTTTCTGACTGCAGCCTGCCTGAGCCACTGGGCTACCAAGGCTGGCAGAGCCCTGATGCCAGCATCAGGATGCTCTCAGGGGATGCTGTGGCTGTGAGCACGTTACTTACTCCAACCTCCCAGTGCCAAAGGGAGCTTTGTTTCTGTGTGAGCCAGCACACAGCTGAGCACAGACTCTGGTTTGCCATCCTGGACAACTGCAGCACAAATTTAACTCCCTAGTTGTACCGCAAACGTGCCTCAAACCAGAGTGAAGGCATGTCACCATCTTCATTCACAAGAACTGCGAATAGCAGCAGTGGAGAAATAACTGTTCAAGCAGCAATGTCCTGAGAGAAACTGCACACGGACAGTGAGGCCATCCTGCAAAAAGATGGGGCAGGAAGACTGGACTGCATGTGAGCATGGCAGCAGAGCTTTGCTGGGTCCATCCCCTGCCGCTTCAGTGTCTTCACAGGTTGCATGTGGCCAGCTCAGCCCCAGGAGCCTAATGACAGTGGCTGCTTGGCTTTTCGTTGTGTGATCACTTCTAAAAGCTGGGAGAAGCTGCCCAGGCTGCAACCTTACCAGTGCCTGTAGGAAAGGGTCTCATAAAAACATAGAATAGTTTGGGTTGGAAAGGACCTTAAGGTTGTCCAGTTCCAACCCCTGCCATGGGCAGGGATGCCTCACACTAAACCATGGCACCCAAGGCTCTGTTCAACCTGGCCTTGAACACTGCCAGGGATGGGACATTTACCATTTCTTTGGGCACCCTGTGCCAGTGCCTCCACACCCTCACAGTAAAGAACTTCTTCCTTATACCTAACCTGAACTTCCCCTGTTTCAGTTTGAACCCATCACCCCTTGTCCTGTGTACTACAGTCCCTGATGAAGAGTCCCCCTCCATCATCCTTGTAGCCCCCTTCAGACACTGGAAGCTGCTCTGAGGTCTCCATGCAGCTTCTCCTCTCCAGGCTTAACAGCCCCAGTGTTCTCAGCCTTCCTAGAGGAGATGCTCCAACCTCTGACCATCCTCGTGGCCTCCTCTGGACTTGCTCCAACAGCTCCATGCCCTCCTTATGCTGAGGACACCAGCACTGCACACAGTGCTGCAGGGGGGATCTCACGAGAGCAGAACAGAGGGGCAGGATCACCTCCTTGGACCTGCTGCTCACGCTCCTTTGGATGCAGCCCAGGATACGGTTGGTTTCTGGGCTGTGAGAGCACACTGAACCCGGCTCATGTGCAGTTTCTCATCAACCAACACCCCCAAGTCCTTTCTCCACGGGGCTGCTCTGTATCACCTCTCCTGGAAACACTGCAGTACCCAAGCCAGAGACACTGCAGCAGCATGAAAGCGTGTGGGTAAAACCCAGAGCCCTTGCCCGAGGGTACCTCCCTGCCACCCCAGCCGCGGCACGGCGCATGTGCTCACCTTGATCCTCTCGATGCCAGCTTCGATGCGGAGCTGCTCCACCAGCTTGCGGGCCTGCGCTATGTTGTTAGTTGTTGACATTGTCTGCCATTGGCTCCAGGCCCCAGCACTCGAGAATACTGCAGAACAAGGGGGAAGATGGGGGTTTACATCAGCTGGGAAGCTGCTGGGTCACAGGGCACCAGCCTCCAACAGGGCTGGGCACCGCTGTCCTCAGTGCCAGCCACGTGCAAGGCTTCCACGAGCTCTAAACTGATGATGCCAACTTCACATTTCCTGATTTTGCTCCAGGTTCTCCTTTCCTTGAAGCAGCACTCTTGGTCCTGGGGGACTCTTTTCAGGCTTCCTTTTTTTATTTAATTAAAAAAAAACCCACAACCAAAAAAAAAACCAACCAAAACCCCACAGAACAATATCCAACCAACCAACCAACCAACCAACCAACACCCCACCAAAACAACATCCAACCAACCAAAAAACATCCAAAAAACCAAATCCCCACCAACAGCCAACCAACTGAAAACCAACCAACCAACCAAATCTCCACCTAAACAACAACCAACCAGCCAAAACCCATCCAACCAACCAAAGCAACAACCAATCAACCGAAAAGCAAGCAAGCAACCAAAACCCCAGAAAACAACAACCAACCAACCAAAAACCAACCAACCAACCAAAACAACAGCCAATCAATCAAAAACCAACCAACCAACCAAATCCCCACCAAAACAACATCCAACCAACCAAAAACCAACCAACTAACCAAAACAACACCCTATCAACCAAAAACCAACCAACCAATCAAATCCCCACCAAAACAACAGCCAACCAACCAAAAACCAACCAACTAACCAAAACAACAGCCTATCAACCAAAAACCAACCAACCAACCAAATCCCCACCAAAACAACAGCCAACCAACCAAAAACCAACCAACCAACCAAAACCAACCAACCAACCAAAACCCCACCGAAACTTGCTTCAAAAGGAAACTTCTTCTGCTGAAAGTCCTGCCAGATGCATTCAACTGACTGGAAAACCAAAGAGGAGTCTTCCAGCCCGTGTAACCTGCTTGCAGCGAGGCAGGGGGAAGGCAGATGGGAACGATGCTGGGCTGTGAGCACACACAGTCCCTGGATGTTCACCCTTGCTTTTTATCTCCTTGGTGCACCACTGCCTTTGTTCTGCCCTGACTCCTGTGCCAGGATTTCCTCTGCACAAAGAGGTTCCAAGCAGTGACTAGAAACACTCAATACTGTACACACTCAGACCTATGCTCTTTATCCATTAGCTTGCAAATCGGTGATCCTCAAAAGAGTAAGAAATGAAGTCAAAGCGATGGATGGTCCCAGGGTGGGTGGAAAGCCAGGGCTCAGGCAAGGGACAGAGGTTTCTGAGATGGCAACGCATAGGATGGAAGCAGGGGACAGGCAGTGAGACACAGGCACAGATATGAAAGCACTGGGGCACCAATAGCTCATCTCTCATGGAAGGGAGAATGGGGGTGGTTAAACAACCTTCCCTGACATTCCAAAGCAGCAGCTGAAAGGAGTTGGTCTACGAGACCAATGTAATCCATTGCTGTCACTGTGGAGCAGCACACAGGGCTGTGGCACACAGGAGGGCAGCTCCCTCCAAGTCAGACTCCCTTGGTCAGGTATTGTTCTTGGGTCATTTCTTTAGGATCACCTCCATAGGGCTGCTGCAGAGGTGTCAGGAAAAGTCACTTCCTTGCTCTGCCCGGCAGTGACTCAGCCCCTGATCATTCAGTAATGGCAGGGAACAGTGGGAGAGGGAAAGCGAGCACCCAAGTACCACCTCCCACCACCTGACAAACATGAGATGATGCAGGGAGGAGGAAGGAGCCAAAGCAAACACGGGGTCAGATACTGGAGTGCTCCCAGTGCTCCAGTCAGACGCCCACTGCAGCCCTTCTGTGCTAGCTTTCATTAGAGACTCTCTGTCTTCTCCCTAGGACCAGCAGCTTCAAAGCAGATGCTGAACTGCTGCCTTTACTGGAGGGCAGAGAGGGGGGAGTGTCTGCCCCATCTAAGATCCTAGCAGACTTGAGCTGTCTCGCCTATGTTTAGAGTTTATTCCAGACCACAGCGGCTCTCCTAAGGATTATTTTGCTTGGCAGCAGCATGCAATGCGTGCTGAACCTTTCAAGCCCTGAACAGCACTCAGCTTCGTTTGCTTTCCGAAGGCTGAGGGAGAAAACAAATGGTGCTTCAGACAGCATTGCCAACTCTGCCATGGGAGGATTCCCTGAATTAACAGGGTGATTGGGAAATCTCCGCCTCTCCAGTCCTGGAAGATGTTCGTCAGGGCAATATGGGAAGCCATGCTGTTGAAATAAAGGATGGCACTGTGGAAAGTGGGAGAGGGAAGCAGGCTGGTTCTCTAGGGAAGGAGCTTTCTCTCCAATTTGAAGCACTTCAGGCACCATTAGGACGGGGGAAAAACTCTGTCTCAAAGTCAAGTTCTCTCTAAACCTGGACCATGAACCTGAAAGACCTCCCCTACTGCAAAAAGTCCATTCCTCATCGACAAAACAATTGTTCACTACACAAGAGTTAGCAAGCAGCTGGAGAAAAATCCCAAACAGATCCAACTTCTGTTTGCAACAAGATCACCTGCTTGTACTTTCCCAGCTTCCTGTTTATGAACAAGGCCGATGAATCAGTCGAGGGCAAGTTACTTAAGGGAACTTCTGCCACAGCGCTCGTGTCCTGGTCCCTGCAGCATCCCAGAGCTTGTGCTTCATAGGAACCCCCAGCCTGGCTGAAGGAAGGATGTGTTTTATTAAGTACAGCATGGAGAGTCCTGCTGTGTGGCAGGAATTCTCAAACCAGTGTCTTAAAAGTCCTTGCCAAGGGGGAGAAGTTTTCTTCTTACTCTATTGCCCATTGAAAGCTATAGGCTTCATGGAGTCTTTGCAAAGCAAAAGCAACACTTGTAAATCAGAAATAACACTTTGCTTGAGTCGCTACAGCACCAAAGCAGGCAGGTATCTGTCCTCCCCTGCCCCTCTGCTCACAACTGCTTTCCAGCATCATTGTCATCTGCCAGCCAGCCAGCTCCTGCTTTGCCTAGGGCAGCAATGCACTTTGCCTCTCCCAGACACAAAGAGCAGCATTGAACACCACAAGGACAGGTTTAGCAGCTTTACAGCAACAGAATCTGCAGCAACAGCTTCTACTTCCTCATCTGCCCTCACCCAGTGACCACGATGCAGGGCTCCCTGCGTGCCACACTGACAGCACAGTTCCTCTTTCAGTGTTCTACGTTTCCAAGTACAAATTGCAGTGGCTGAGCTCTTAGAAATGTCAAGGGGAGTCTGGGCGGATGCTGCCCATCTTGGGCATCCCTAAGGCTCCTCAGCATCTCTAAGTCCAGATCTGCTGATGGCAAAGGTTCGGTCAGCACCGGAACCACAGCCACGTGCTCCCATGCTCTGAGACATGAAGCGGGACCTGCATTACTTTTCAGTGCAGGCTGCTGGCACCGGTCAGGGATCAGGACAGCTCTGTCCTGACACAGTTTAAAACCTGCTTTCTGTCACCTTGGAGAACAATTAACTAAGCATGTGATCACCAACGGGGGACCATCAATACAGAAGATGCAGTGGCTTTGCTGCATGGCACAAAGGGGGGTCCTTGGGGTTTTGTAAAAGCCAAACCAAACCTTCAAGGTGGCATTCAGCAGACTCACAGGGGTGTGTAAATAGCTCATGAGATAGAGGAATTCAGAAGAAAAGCCATGCAGAAGTGGAGTAGAATCACAGAATAGTTTGGGTTGGAAAGGACCTTAAGATCAGCAAGTTCCAACCCCCTGCCATGGGCAGGGACACCTCACACTAAACCATGTCACCCAAGGCTTTGTCCAACCTGGCCTTGAACACTGCCAGGGATGGAGCATTCACAACCTCCATGGGCAACCCATTCCAGTGCCTCACCACCCTAACAGGGAAGAGCTTCTTCCTTATATCCAATCTAAACTTCCCCTGTTTAAGTTTGAACCCATCACCCCGTGTCCTATCACTGCAGTCCCTAATGAAGAGTCCATCCCCAGCATCCCTATAGGCCCCCTTCAGATACTGGAAGCTGCTCTGAGGTCTCCACGCAGCCTTCTCTTCTCCACGCTGAACAGCCCCAACTTTCTCAGCCTATCTTCATATGGGAGGTGCTCCAGCCCCTGATCATCCTCATGGCTCTTCTCTGGACTTGTTCCAACAGTTCCATGTCCTTTTTATGTTGAGGATGTGACATAAAGCGTGTGTGGTGCAAACCAAGATGACATGCAGGATGCAGCGAAGTCGTGCCTTCTCTAATCTTTATGTTTTAAAGAAAGTGGCACTGGAAAAAGACAGGGAGGTGACGTCTACAGCTGGGCCTGGGGATGCAGCACAGGACGGTCAGGACACTGAGGTCTCATGCACATCCTCCTGCCACCGCTCTGTCATTTGACTAAGGAGAAATAACTCACAGAGCTCGGCTTCCTTCCTGCAAGCCTTCAGTGTTCAGCCACGACCAACCTCCTCCTGCTCCTCCCGCCTGCAGAGAGCTGCCAGTGCCAGGCCAGGGCAGGCTTTTCCTTTCCTGGTATGGACTCGTGACGCTGCAGAACGGGAATGCCACCCGCGTTCTGCCGAGTCACGCATGGCCATCGTTCAGCAGGAAACAAACCTTCCCACAGCTTTGCCAAAGCACTCCGTGCTCTCCAGGCTCATCCATCTTCCGCTGCCCCCCCAGCAGCATTCCTGCCTAGAAAGGACAACCCAACTTTCGGGAACTGCTCCTATTGCGTTAGCACGACGTTAGCTCTGTGTGCTGTTTTTCATGCAGGTCTTGCAACTGTCTGGGCTGCTCCTCCAGCTGCAGATCTCAGCGTGGGGAGGTACGAACAGGGCTTGGGGCTGCAGCAAGATTTCACACCTAGGAGGTTCGAAACTACTGCTGCAGGAAGTGAACCACCCCAAACTAATGAAAAGTGAGAGAAGACAAAAGCGTGGAGGAGATCAGCGGTGTTCCAAGGTCAATGGCAAAACAAGCAGCAGCGAGGGAGGGTTATGAAATCTTCCAGCAAGTAAACAGGCAGTCAGGAGTGCAGGCGAGGG